CATCAGGGCATGGACGGCTGTAGAGTCAACCAGACTGTCAATCTTAGGAAGCGGGTAGCTATCCTTCGGACATTCCCTGTTCAGGTCTGTGTAATCTACACACATCCGCCAGGTACCATTCGGTTTTTTGACGAGAACAACATTGGCTACCCTATCCGGGTAGTAACATTGACGAATGAACCCAGCGTCTAGGAGTTTTTTGACCTCGGCGGCAGCCGCCTAAGACCTCTCCTTGCCATGATCCCTCTACTTTTGCCTAACCGGCTTCATGTTGGGATCCACAGCTAGCTTGTGGACGGCTAGATCTGGGCTGACGCCTGGCATCTCCTCCACTTCAAAGGCAAAGAGGCCTTTGAACTCTTTCAGAAGTTAGAGCAAGTCGGCCCCCAACTTTTCAAAAGCAACCTACTCAACTTTGACTGTCCGGTTAGGACGGCTGTCGTCCAGGACGACATCAATGCTCTCACCAGCCGACTGGGGTCGGGAATGATCCGACCTCTCCCCGGCTAGTGATTGCTATTTCATTTTTCTGGCGGGGGCTAGTTGGTCCGCCTTTCTCTTTGTACCGCCAGCCTTAGGGGCAGGCCCGACTTCTTTGTCCACGAGGTCAGTAGGTTCCTCATTGGGGCCGGCTGCATGGGCAGTCGGCTTGACGTCTGAGAGAGAGCACTCTCTTGCCGCCTTTTGATCCCCGTTTAGGGAGCCTACTGACCCATCATCCCTCTCTAATTTTATCAGCATGAGAGAAGGGATGATTACAGCTTTGGACTCGTTGAGGGTCGGACGACCCAATATGAGGTTGTAGGCAGTCAATTCCTCGACCACCAAAAACTTGACGACCATGTGTCGTCCTTCCCCTTTGCCTCCCAGCCGGATGAGTAGGTCAATCCTACCCACCGGATGCACTACCCGCCCCCAAAGCCGACTAGAGGGTGGGGAGCCTTGTGCATACTGCTGGGCTTGTACTTGAGCTTCGTCAAGTAGCGATAGCTTATGAGGTCTGACGAGCTCCCGGTATTGATTAAGATCCGGCCAACTCGTTGATTGGCGACTTTACATTCGACGACGATAGGGTCATCATGGGGCCGCCTGACCGTACCCCTGTCCTTCTCAAACATAAAGACCTCAGGGAAGGTGTCTTTCGACGCCTGGCCTTCATCTTCTGAGCTGGACAACTTTCTGATGTTGTCCTTGGCACCCCGGATGGAGGGACCCCCGCTAGCGAAGCCGCCTGCAATGGTGTAAATTTGATCCTCATCAGTGTTAGAGCTTACAGCTGGCTTCTTTGATGGTTGTTCACCGTTTTTGGGATTACCCTTGGACTTCGTCAGATAGGACTTTAGAGACCCCTCATCAGCCAGACGGTCCAATAGCCGCCTGAGGCTGTAGCAACCATTGGTGTCATGGCCAATGTCCTCATGGAATTGACAATACTTGCTCTTGTCCCGATTTTTGACAGAGCTCATCAAAGGAGCCGATTTCTCAATGGTCAACCGGTCTTTTATCTCCAAGAGGATGGAGGAGCAGTCCTTGTTGTACTCGTACTTGGGGACGTACGGTTCCAACTTCTTTTGCTTTTTCTGGGACGACTGACCTGGGCGGTCAGCTGCCCAGACTTCTTTTCTTTTCTTTTCTTCTTTTTTGGCCAGCTGTTGGGGTCGGCTTTCTTTTTTGTTAGACCGCCTGGGTTCCAACGAGTGCTTGATGGCACAGAGTTCCGTCGCCTGTATGTAAGCTTCGGCCTCCATTAGTGCCTCTTGGAGGGTAGCAACCCTCTTGCGGACCAGATCAAACTTGAATGTTGACCCATCCTTCAGACCCTTGAAGAAGTCTGTGTACGCCACTTCGTCAGACAGTCCTTGTATCTGAATTCTCATCAGATTGAACCGCCTGACATAGGACCGGAGTCCCTCCTTGTCTCCCTGCTGGATAGCCCCTAGGTCGAGGCTAGTCTTCTTGGCAGGGATATTCATGGAGAAGTTGGACGCAAACAGATATGCAAGCGTCTTGAAATTATTGATGCACCCAGTCGGCAGGTTGCCAAACCACCGTTGGGCTATGCCCTTCAGCGTTGCTGGGAAGCATCGACACCAAGCGGCATCATCCAACCCTTGTAGGTACATGAGGTTGGTGTATACCATCAGGTGATCTTCCGGGTTGGTGGTACCGTCGCAGGTACCTAACAACACGTTCTTAACCTCGGCCGGCTGCGCCGCCTCGATTATTTCCTGGGAGAAAGCTGAAGGTTATTCCCCTAGGTTTAGCAGCCGGAGCTGCCAGTCCATGGGCTGGACTATGTTTGCCGCCAGTCCCCCAAAGGGGGACAGCTGCATATAAGGTGATCCGGGTCCATATGGTTGTTGGGGCACATATGGAGCCTGATGGATCAAATAAGGAGCAGTACGTACGGACGTGCCGTGTGACTGGCTCCCTGGGTTGGTTTCTGAATGCTTCATCGAAGTATTGCGGAAACTGTCTGGGTAGGTCGACGTAGAAGCCAACTGAGACATGCTCCGACTTCTCTTCTCCTGGATTAACAACCGGGCGTCAGAGAAAGTCTTCTTCGACCCATCCGGCTGTATATGCCGGATGGCCTTTCGCTGCCTTGATTCAGGGAAACGAATTTTTGAGAGGTCGATTAGGGGCCCATATGCCCCCTTGGGCTTTGGGTGAGGAGTAGGCACCCGGTCTTTAATTTACTTATTCCCGGAGGCCTTCTTGGCCGACTGGCCCTTGCTAGAGCCAGCTGACTTCTTGATAATATCTTTAATTTCCCCTTTGAAACTAGTCATGAGATTCATGAGTTTGTCTCTGGTGATGGGGACAGCCCCCTCCGTCGCCTGGGGTTGTCCAGGGTGCTTGCCGCCTGGGTTGTTGGGACAAGCTTTGTCTTGGTCCCGTTCCTTCTTTTCTTTGGAACGGGTGCGCCTAGAATGGAATGACCCGTCTGGGGCCATATAGGTTTCGACATTGTAGTCGTCACCGCTTCCACTTTCATGGTCCGTATGGACCTCAGGGTCAGCCGTGGGCCGGCTGCCCTCTGTAGTTGGTACATTGTCAGATGTCATCTCAGTAGTACTCTCCCCACAGACGGCGCCAGATGTTTCGGGGAATTTCGGTCCCTCGGGAGAGTTAAAATACGGAGTATGCGCGCCTGACTTCTGTACCTACAAAACCAAGAAATTCCGGTTGGGTGGAGTTCCGCCTCCGACGATCAAGTTAGTATGATTCCGGATGAGATTACGTGCGGAAAGTAAATGGGTATTTCTCGCGGATTCCGGGAGATTTCACAATTAATATTGCTCGGGTTTTTATGTGCGTATCTAGGAATAGGTCATAAATGAGGATTTTTCCCCTATTTATAGCAGATGAGGATCTGCTCCCCCATTGGGGGTACAATGCCACGTGGCATACAAGGGTTGGATGCCCATGGTGCTATAGGAGGGTGACACGTGTTAGACCCTCATTGGGCCACGTGTCTAGGGTAATTTTTACCCTAAACAGGGGCCATAGGGGATATCCGGATATTACAAAAAAAGAAAGCACATGACCTCATGCACCTACGCTGACCTGTCGTTTGAAGTGGGTGGGGTTAATTTGTTGACTCTTCTTCCCATTTTTATTTTCATCAAATTAAATAAAACTAGAGTGTATCCGTGCTAATGCACGGGATATACATATATATGTTGTAGGTATATTTAAAAGAAAAAAAAAATTTAGTGAAAGTTGTAGGGTTTTTTTTTTTTTTTTTTTTTTTTTTTTTTGAAAAAAATGGAGAAGTGGAAATTATTGGGAAAAAAAATTATATAAAAGATTATTGGGAAAAAAGTTATATAAAATTATTGGGAGAAGTTGAAAAAAAGGGTTGTTAAACACCGCCCTCGATTCTCCAGTTAACACCCACTAAATAAAATTTATTTTACGAATTTACCTTCATTAGTTATCTCACACATTATTCATTTACTAGTAATTCAAGTTTTTTAAATACTCGTTCTCGTCAGAAGGGTCAAAATAATTAGGCCAGGCGTGTTGGGTTAATTTGTAGGTCAGCAACGGTTCAATGAAAGACGTGCTGATAAACGATCAAGAAAAAAGAATAGAAGAGAGCCAAAATTAGGAAATTGATTTTGGCACTCTTAATTGATATTGACACACCTCCATGTGAGAAGAGCATAAACTGTGCTCTCACATAGGATGTGTCAAAATCATTTCTACATTAAGTATCTGTGAGTGAGTACTGTGCCAATGTGAGTGTGAGCATGACTACGAAAATATACATCATTATTTTTATTTTATGTTATTAATTTCTTCTTTTGCTAAATAAGGAAAACATTACTAAATATCAACTGCCTAAGCTTGGCTCAAACCTATACTCATTAGGCTACCTTGTCCAATGACCAGGTCTACTTGTTAAAATTGTATAATTTTGAATCATCAACTCATTAACAATTTTAGATATCATTAGTCATAATTTGATATACTATCTCTGTTTCATATTATATGCAACAAATGAGTTTACACAGACTTTTAGATAAAATTTGCTTGTGAGTGTTGAATGGAGAAAGAAAGATAGTGGTGCATGTGTTGAGGGGAGAAATAAAAATACTCCGTAATTGACAACTTAAAAAGGAAAGAAAACATTTGTTATACATAATGTGGAGCAATCATTTTTAATAAATATTGCATATAATATACTTCCCACGCCAAAGCATACTATTTTGTCTATTATGAAGATGTATGTGCCAGTTAAATTAGGACACTTATTTATAGAATAGATATGTTAACAAAATTGTTATACTTCACATTTGTTATACGGAAAAGAAAACATTTGTTATACTAATGTGAAGTAAAACAGAGGATGTATATGCCGGTTAAATTAGGACACTCATTTTGAAACAGATCGAGAACAGAGAAGTCAATCAACAGTGGGGGCCATGGGGATATGTAAGGAATTCCCACGCCAAAGCATACTCGGACAAGTCGGCATCTACGTCAAAATAACCAAAACTAGCAAGTGTGGCATCACCATATCCTCTCATATGAGTCGTGATAAAAACGATGTACAAGACTCATTACCAACATTATATCCGTTAACATATATAGCACCTCAAACTTCCAATTATGGCGAAAACTTCCTTGAGCTTCAACAATGGCGAATTCTACATTCACGTTGTTGAAAGCAGTCTTCATCGCATTGGCAAGCGTTATGGTTGCTACTCTTATCTATACTATCGCCATTGATGGCCTTCCGTTTCGTAAAGACCTCCTTTTCCCGTAATTTTCTTCTTTTTTTTATATAACTTTGAATTTGTGATTGCAATTCACACTTTGTTTTTCAATTAATTTGATGATGATAGTTTTATTTCTGTGTAAATTTTGTGATTGCTTAGCTTTCCAGCAATTTTGATGACAATTTTTATTGCAAATTTTTGTATTTCTGATTGTATTGGAAAATTTAAATGATTGTTATGATGATGTTCGTGTAATTTGAACTAGTAGTATGACAACTGAATTGAGACGGCGTACGTGTTGTATTGTGTAGCAATAATGATCAGTAGCATCTTCAATAGGGATGTAATTGAGTAGTTCAATTGAGTAATTAATTTTTGCAGAATTATTGGCATTGTTTGGAAAGTGGCTTTTGTTCTATTGGTTTTTATAAGGTTTGGGATTTTAGCTTATTGGTGGAATCAAATAGCTGAAAAGTATGTCCGGTAAACGGCTTAGGGAGCCAAATTGAAAAGGTTGCGGGGGCGGCCTTTTCAGCCAAAAATGAAAGGTTGGGGGTATAGTGTTGAAGGTTCTAGTGTAAGTTTTCGAGTTTGTACTCAGAATTCTTCATTTCATATGCTAAATTGCTAAGGTTCGTTAGTTACAATAGCTCTCAAGTTATACATAAACTTAATTAAAAATCTTTGTGTTTAAATTTGAGGTACAAGAGAGTTCCTCTGACGGAACATTCGTTATAGATGTTGAGCTGCATTGCTTGAATTCCCATGCCTAGGGTCGGAGATTATTTAGATGTGTTGGGTTAATATTGTTGTTACTTTTTATGTGATGCATCAGAACAAATATGCTACAGAAGGTAGGCATTTGTCTCAGATGCTTGATTTCCCTGCCTTTACTTAATTGTTTTTGTTTAAAAATCTTGTGCTGTTGTATACCTTTTTCCCCCTTTATTTCCCTGTTGAATAAACTTTGGCAGGCAACTGGTGATAGTTGCCAATAATCATTTTTGTGATCTTCTGCAGATGGATGGCAGCAACTTTAGTGGACTTCTATATCAATATTTTTGTTTTGGCGGTATGATATGTACATCTCATCACTTAATATTAATTAGGTTTAAACCCCAAGCTATTCTTTATTAAATATTAGAGTTGCACATGATATCTTTTAGTAAATTAGTTTGTTGTTATTTTCATTGTCATGTTTAGTCAACCTTTCACCAGATGGTATTAGTTACTTTTGGTTTTATGTTGAAAGGGGCTTGATAGCTTTTATGTTGAAAGGGGCTTGATTGCTGTAACAAAAAAGTGATAAGAAATCTAAAGCTTTGGGATTACCATCATCTGCTAATGAATTATTCTAAAATAAACGTGAAATTTCTAGATTACTTCAAAAAGTCTGGTAGTATTCTCAACTAATATGCAAACGTTGTATAACAGTTTGCATTGGGATTTGAGATGTTTAATAATAGTGTACTCTAAATTAGCATTAATCTGTGGCAGATTGTACGCATGCTTATGAATGGCAACATACACTTTATTAGAGGAACCTTAATACTGTTTTATCTTGTTCTGGGATTTGGCAAGTAATTTTTTTTTTTTATTTGGGGGGGGGGGGTGCGCGGGGACTAAGATCATATGAACTTCACTCCTGAAAGGCCATCCCATCAGACTTTGTTATTAGCAAATGCTTAGTTTGTTAAGAAGTGCCCCAAAGGCCCCCAATTGTTTGAAGTTCACCCTTCTGCTTCCAGTAATAGGGTTTTTGGATCAAATTCTAGTCATCTAGACCATTGTCAACAAGCCTCTACATTATCTACAAAAAGCTTCTTTTTTATTCCCCTAATATTCAACACTTAAAATGCAACATTAGACAAATTTTGAGCAAGTTTAAAATCTGTGTAACTTGATTTTCCTTGTCAATGCACTTCTTATTTTAATTTTCTCCTTGGTCTAAGATTGACAGCTGTATAACCTGCTTACTTTATATTCTTTTTCATGATTGACAGCTCTAAAACTCCATGCTCTTTGTTGAATTAGGTATGGGTTATCTACAAGGAATCAAGTTGGCTCACATCAGTAATCTGGGTCATACTTCTGGTTTGTTTTGGAAGGTATGTCTTGGTTTATCTGTTCTTCTCATATATTGTACGCCCAGCCCGGCCCTTTGCATGTCAAACGTGGGACATGTAACAGAGTACCCAACAAATTGGGGCTCCAAATTAAAGGCTTTGATGTATCTACTAAGGAATATTTGTTGCAATATTGTATTGTGTTTTTGGTAGTAGCCTAGTGGGTTAAAATGTTAAACCAAAATCTAATGTTTAGGTGGTCAAGGGTTCAATTCCTTATTGCTATCATTTTTTGTTTTTGTTTTTTTTTTTTTTTTTTTTTTTTTTTTTTTTTTTTTTTTTTAAAAATGTTTTTTCCTTTTTTCACCCTTCTTCCTCTAAAAGAGAACCTATTCCAAACAATCAAGTATAGAGTATTAGAATTCTACCTTTTTTTTTTATTTTATTTTTTTACTCAAGTTTCAATATTTGACATAAATATGTTAATATTGCTATTTTCATTTTTAAAAAATGAGAAATAGATCGAGGGTCTAATTAGTAGCATAGTTCTAATACGTCTATAAAAAAAAAAAGCAAAAGTTAAAAATGTAGTTACAAAATATTTTCATTATTTATTTATGGACCGATCCCTATTTTCTTGCCGTAGCACAGGGCCCCCGTTATTATTGGGACGGGCCTGTGTACACCTTCCATCCAACTTCAAACATCTTACCTTTTATTATAAATCCTTGCCACTTCAATTGTTTTGTACAGTTCCCATTTACAAAAGTTATTGTTTTGGTTAGTGAGGTTGTAGGGTTTCAATTGTTTTTTGGCAATAGATGATATGTTGAGAAGGCTAAAACACAAAAAAGACCCAAGAATTTACATAGAGAACCTAGTCCCTTATTTAATGTGGCTGGAAAAATTCATTACTCCCTTCATCCCTTATTTAAAGTCCACTTAGAAATCTGTCAAAAAAATATTTGGCTTTTATGTTAACTGTTAAGTTCGATTGCCCTTTTCTTTTCTTTTTCTTTTTAATTTAGTTTTAAGTCTTTTCGTGTAGTTGTCTCATACTCGTATTTCTCTTGTAAATCAGCTTTATTCTAGAGAAATAAATAAATAAATAAAAACTAATACTGTATGCTGTTGTGTTATTTTTTTTCCTTTTCAGTATTACTACTTGTACATACATTGTCATTCAATTATTCAAGCTCTCAGCTGAAGAATCTGCTCGTGATCCTATGTATCATCTTTTATTGCGACAGCAAGACAAGTGAGCTAATTCTTATTTTCTTATAAAGAAAATAGTATTATTACTTTTTTTTTTCCCTTTACTTTGCGGGTTTCATTTTCCTTTCATTGCCAGAATCCATAGAAATATCGAATATGTCAGGTTTTGATCCTGCAGCCACTAAAATTAACCTTGGCTCTGGGAACAATTTCGATAGTTCTTATAAGATATTGAATTTTATTCTGTGCTTGGCGAGTTGGCCAAAGTTATTTGCCCTATTTGAATTGATGTTAAGTGTTATTTTCAGGCAGCTAGTATTAAATTGAATATGGACATCAGGTATCAGTGTGGCTTCTTTCTATCTGCATCTCAATTCATTCATATCTTCTTGTATTTCTGTGTTAAATCTGTTCTTATTCTTCATCCTCTCCCTTTTCTCTGTTATTATACCCCCCCCTAAATTTTTCTTTTTCCATATTCAATAATCAATATTAGTCCCCACTTAAGATAGCTAACAGTCTAATCTTTGATAAAATTTCTGTGAAACCAGTTAAGGAGAGATTATACATTATGAAACAGGTGGAGTTGCAATCAATACTCCTACGTGAATTGAAGTTGTGGCTTTTTTTTTTTTTTTTTTTAATTTTTTTTTTTAATTTTTTATATATATATATATATATATATATATATATATATATATATATATTTATTTTTTTTCAGCTATTGGCTGAGATCAAGCAACTAACTTTCTATATACAGGTATCTTCCTCAACAGGAAAGATGCATTTAGTGGAAGCACACTTCATTTGATCGCTGCAAAAGTTATTTTCAGTGCTCTAGGCTTCCTTATGCTTGGAACCTTGGTTTACACTCTTATAACTAATGGTTCACCTTTCAAGAAGGAGCTTCTTATACCGTAAGTTTCTCTCATTCTGCCGATATATTCCCTAAATGGATTTCCCTAGTGATTGTTAACTTATATTTAATCTGAATAAGTAATATGACAATTTAACAGAAATAGTTAACTATTTTATGAGGTATCTTGACGTACTGTAACTTACCTCTGTGCTTTCTTCTCAGCTTTTGGGAATAGAGCAGTAACTTATCTCTGCTTTTCTGCTTACCATTCGACTACTACTCATTTTCTTTATTGTATCTAATATAAACTAATATCAGCTTAATGAGTCATTCATTTGAACCAAACTCATTGATCACTTTGGTATGAGAGGCATTGTTTTCTATGGACCCATGTTAAAATAATGCATCAGATGACAAAGGTTAAAGTGAGATACCTTGGAGTTACTAATTACTAGTGCAAATATTTTTGGCTGAGTTATTTCTTCAGTGGAAATATTTTGGCAATAGAATGGTATGTGTGGTAGAAGTTATTGTTCCTTTTGTTGAATATATTAAAGTTTTAAGTAATGTCATTTTTGTCTTGGAGTTCCCTCTTTCCTACGGGTTGGGTGTGGTGTGTGAGAGAGGTCGCAGGTTGGTCGTGGAGTCAGCTGCCCATCTTTCTCTTGACCATGGGTTGGGTGTGGAGTTTGCAGCCCATCTCACTTGTGAGCTCCCTTTTGTGCGCTGGAATCCCGTTTTGGTTGATAAATCTATTTTTCTTGAATTGTCTTCATATCTCCCTCTTTATGAACATTCATGATAATCATATTAATTAACATTCCTTTTGATGGAGGGTAGTAGGTTACTTCCTTTTGTATGGTTCATTTCTTTGTCGCTTTATGAATAATAGATTATGTGTAATTAATTATTGCAATTATGTTTAGAATGTATTCTTGTGTATATTTCTTACAAAAGAATTAAACTTTTTATATTCCTCTCAAATTAGTTGGCACATCAGAGTTTTCCATTATATAATCTGATTTTGAGACTAGAAATATGTACACAATTCAATCTCATTTCTACTATTATTCTCATTCTTCTCCTTTATAATATTTTAGGCATAAATTTGTGTGACTTAAACACTCACCCAAAATTGCTTTTGTGAGACTGTGAGAGTGTGTTGTGTGGACCTTAGGGAACAAATCGGTGAAAACTATTTGCACCCCAGTTGTACCGATTATCACTTTCAAATTAGTGGTTCTTAATTGTCACGACACAACATCTTCTCAAGTTTTGTTTCTTATGTAGCTTTGAAACTCTGTCAACACCTTGTCCGTAAAAGGATCTTTGTGTTAGAAGTGTTGAAGGAATGGAAGTAAATAGCTTATAGGTTAACTAATTTGTGATTGCCTTGTCTTTAAAGGGATCTTCGTGTTAGAAGTGTTGAAGGAATGGAAGTGAATAGCTCATTACTTTGGCAATGCCCAAATTGTCAACACCCCACCCTCAAAAGTTTTGCTGATAGCCTCTTTAATTTGTCCTAAGGGTAACTTTAAGGAATACCATGTAAAACCTGAAAGTTGTGTTGGTTATTTGGTTTTTCATATTTATAATAATATTTCTTATCGAAACATTTTTTATTTACTTTTTTGTAACCAATTGTTATTGTATTCTGAATGTAGAATTTTTATATATATATGCAGATGGATGGTAGCAACGCTCATTGATTTCTACATCAATGTTGCAGTTTTATCGGTACTGTTTCTTCATCTCCTCTGTAAATGTCAAATATTTAATCGGTTTTTGTTCTTCCCTTGTTTTATCTTAAATATTCCTTTTTAGATATAATAAAATTGTCCAATGATCTTGTGCTTCATGATGCTTCCTGTCATTAAGGGACTGATTTTATTAAACTGTTAGATTGATGCTATAAGTCAGTTGGGAATTTAACTGATAATTGCATATGAATGGAAATTATGCCATTTCTATTGAGAAAATACAAGTTAATATCCTATATACACAAAAGTTGTTAGTATAGGGGTATAAAAGTCATTTTCATTAGTTATTTATGGACAAGACTGTAAATTCAGCAACATTAGAGCTTCAAGCCTTCAACCATGGAGATCTGCTTCAACAATGGAGTTCAATGTCTGCTTCTTCACCACCACTACAATTGCCGCTTATCACAATGAACCACCGAAAGAATCATGATCTGAATAGTTTAATGGTCTTTACCTTCTTCAATTGTTTTCAAACCCCACCGAATCGAAGCTTTCTTTAAGCTCTAATAGATGCTCCATTGTTAAAGCCCAGGTACCCTCGACAATACCTACCATTTTGGGTTAACCATTCCCTTAATTTGTGTATTTTTTCTTAGGGTTTTCTTTAAATTTGGCGGCGAAGCCACCGTCGGGCGTCGTGTCGGCGTTCATGGAAGAAGGGGTTGTTGGTGGTGTTGATTGGAGGAAAAAGAAGCAAGTGTATTGTGCTTTGTGCCATTTTTTCTTGAAGAAATTTGTCTACTGTGCGTGAGTTTAAAGAAAGAAGATGAAAGAAATATGTTTTTTTTATTGTTGCTATTAACATAGTTTGTTAATATAGGATATTAACTGGGTCTGGCTCATTTCTATTACCCTAATTGAGTGGCTTGACACTTGCATAGGTCTTAAAAAGTTTCCCATCATCAGTGGCAATAGGTCTTGGTGCTCCTCTGTAGGAAGACTAGGAATTGAAATTAATAATATCCATGTCCTTTTCTTCCAAATGTTCTCTCATGTTGTCCCTGGTTATAAATAAAGCTGATGCCATTAGTCAATAGCATTTTTTTTATGCAGAAAAGTTACTGCCAACTCTGCTTCATGTGATTGCAGATTTGGGTTGGCTACAAGGAATCAAGCTGGTTAAATGCAGTCATCTGGATTACTTTGTTAATATGTTTTGGCAGGTAAATTCTCTTAAGCTTCTTGTTTCCTTACATCTTGTGGCTACTGTTACATTACCAAAATTGCCTCGCTGTTGTATTCTGTGGGTTTCTCTTGCAACCTTTAGCATTGCATATTCTTATGGATTAAGCTGATTTTTTTTTTTTTTTTAGCATTTTCTGTGAGACATGGTGATTCACATCATTACTCACTTCGATTTTAATCAGTAGCATAAATATTAGCAGATAGGCCTGTTCTGTTTTATACATAATAAATGCTGCAGAGAAACTTCTCCCAACAAGAGCTTACAAATTCTTATCTATAAATTGATATACACCATCTGATGTTGATATAGATAATCAAGAAAAAACAATCAATTATTCCTTATCTTGTATTGCTAAAGCTCCCTAGTTGTGTTGTATGGTTAATTGCTTGATTTCTCCCTGGTTTAGAAAATGTGTACATTGGTGAGAGCCTGCTATGTTTATTCACCTCTTTTGTGGCTCCTACCTTGAATATCTTTCTCCTTATATATGACAAGCCTATTCTTCTTTCTATGTAAAGTACTAACCTGCTAATTGGTTATTATGTTCTGCCCTGTGTTCCATGGACCATGCCCATATACATATTCCTGTTCTATTTTGGGGTGAGGGGTCTGTTGCATAAGATCATTCAATCTTTGTCACGCTAATTTTGTCACAACTAGAGGTACACTATTTTAAGATAAAGCAAGGGAAGAACTCAATCGATTTTTGTTCTTCCCTTGCTTTATCTTAAAACAATCTCCAACTCAAATCATAAATAATCTCTAACTCAAGTAAACACCCTCTTGCATTGTACCTCTAGTTGTAACTCTAGCTTCTTTGTCGTTAAACAAGTTGAGGGATCTTGATAACTTTATACTTAAACGTGAACATGTGCTATTTTTTATTTTAAGCAACTAATTTCATCTTCCTGCTTTTCAGCATTTCGACCTGTGGATATGTCGTGCGGCAATTTTTTCTGCTCTCTCCTTATGATCCCTTGTACCTTGTTCTGTTGAACCACCTTCATAGGCAAGTCTAATGTCTATTTTCCATATTTTCTTCCAATATATTCTATTTTCCATAGGCAAGTCTAATGTCTAGCTTTGTAACATCTGCTGTCTTTACACTATATTCTATTGATGCTGTTTAAATCATTCAAATGGTATGTGGGTGTGATGGTAGGACAAGCAAGCTGGAAACTTCCTCTGTCGTTCTATTCAATCTGAATTATGAAACAGACTATTTTTTATCAAAGATTGCAATTATACACTAGACGAATTTTCAATGTTCTGGACCTTTGCTAATTTGTTTTGTCAAATACTTTTTCTACTGGCATAACATGGAATCAATCATTAGAATTGAGTGGAATAGTGTTAGAACCTGGTTCATGGGAATACTTCGGTCTATTCTTGCAGCCCTATGATGATCAAAAGGGTCCTACTCTGGTACTCTACTGTCCCTTCATAATTTAAGCCCAATGATGTCAGGCTTCTATACGAGGCTGAGTAAAAAGATTGTCCATCCATCCCAAAATTTGCAAAGTTCATTTTACTCTTGCTTTCTTAGCAAATTTTATTGAAAATTTTCACTATTTGTTATCCAAATATATATTTTTATCACTCATATCATTGTTATTTACAACACTTCTGAATTCTGACATCTACATCTAGTAATGAAGTGTTTCATTTAGCAACCATGTTTGACAACAGGGTGTAGTGCTATCCTTCTGTTCATGTTCTTGGATACATGCTGCCATGCTGGCCCTTGTTAATGCTTTGGGTTTGAGATACCTTTGAGCTGTGATTAGTATTGCCAAATACTGAATAGAGAACACTGCAGAACAGTGACTTTTATATATATATATATATATATATATATATATATATATATACTGCTGCCTTATTGGCTTATTTTTTTTTTGGCTTATTGTCTGTACAAACAATCTGGATAACCTATCTGCCAATTTATGTTGAAAAATTTACTTATGCAAGAAACTTATAGAATCGATGGTTTTAGATGAAGGGGAAAAAAAAAACTGTTAGACACTAGTGAATAGCTGCTCATCATTTGAAGAGGTGTATATTATTTATGATTATCTGAGTTGGAGATTATTTCATCAGGCAGCCTGATATTATACTGCCTTCAATTCTTCTGCTGTGTTTTAGGCTTTTGCACAAGGAATAAGGGTTCTTGTATTTATCTGAGGTAGTTTTTTTCTTTCACACTAATCCCCAAAAGCAGATACTAATTTCAAACTCTTATTTACTTTGTTTTACACTGGTGGGAGATTGAAGTAATCATGGTTTTATTAGGACCAATGTTGGGGAAAGCTAAGAGCCTTTTCCAAGTAATGCACTCTATAACATCAACTATACAGAACAAATTGAAAAATGTTTAAAGTTCTAGAGAATATGGAGGTGATATAAGGTAAAACATAGGTGCATGCCCTGTCTATGATCTTTTTCAAATTGGGGATTTCTAAAAAACAAAACCTACATGACAAATTGACAACCGAAACAAGATGTTTTCTGGTGGATAGTATTATATAAGATAACTATGATCTGAATGATCTGTCTTGTATTGCTTGTTTTCATGTCCAGTTAAAAATCTGGCTACAGACATGGTTATTACCGTTTCATTGTATGAATTATCATATACACTGCACAAATTTGGTTAGCTTATTGTAAATTGGTAATTCCTGCAAACTTGATAATAAGTAGAGAAATACAAGGTAAATTAAGCTCTCTGCTTGGTTCAAGGTAAAGAGGGTTGAAGATTGTAAGAAAATTTAATACGCTACTGTCATTAGATTCTTATATGAAGATAATTGCTGCAAAAACCCAAAATGGGATTTCAATTCGATTAGAATCAAGAAACAGTTAATTTTTTAGGCATGCTCTGATGAAAATTGATCCCTTATGTTGCCTAACAAGACAAGATATACAGGAAATTATTGGAAATACAGCTAATTATGCCATATATCATGATAACTAGTATTTGAACAATATTATTGATACTCCTCTTGATGTATTGCTCACGTCTGTCTTTTTTCTCATGATTTCATCCTGTCAAATTTTCAGTGATGTTATTCATCTTCACATTGACCAACAATGAACATTAGTCCTTACTGTGTTGAAGTTATTTGTGGCAGGGCAGAAAGCAGATATGAGACGACAACGGTATGGTAAATCAAACTTACAGACAAGCTATTCTACCCACCTTAACTGCTACGGAGCACCAATATTCTGATGAAAGATTTTGAATTCTCAGATATTCAATTGTATTCCAACATTAGTGTGATACTCAAATTTTAAATACGTATAATATCTATTATCTCTATTATATGACTAAAGGGGAGGGTGGAGTGAAAAGTTGGTGTCCAAAATATAGACCGCCAACGGCCAACATACCCTCTTTCACTATATTTTTTATTTAAAAAAAAAATACTTAAAATGGTATATGTATTTAAAAAAAAATTATAAGTCAGTGATTGATAAATCTTGACATTATGAGAGAAATTTAACTATTATTATTTAATTGATGGATTTAGGAAGGAAAAAAATAGGCAATAAAAAAAGTACAAGAATATTGTCAAGTAAAAAAGAAAAGCTCAATTGAAAAAAAGTAAAGTATTGATTTCATGCAATAAAAAAAAAGGTTTAGTGTTTCTCATAATTACATTAGTAGGTTAGATCCTGTGTCATGCATGGTGATTTATAGTTATAAATTATTGGTTGAATTTAAGATAAACTTTTTATCTATGTACCGAGTTTTAAAAATATCATTGATACAAAATTAGGTAGGAATTGATGTGATTTTGTGCTGATTTAAATCATGCATTAGGCATGTAATGACTAATAATAATATTAGTGAAAATGTTTGATTTAAAAAATTTATAAAAAAAAATAGCAAAGTAAGCTTGAAATATTAGAAACTAGATTTAAGCTCGTGCGGTGCACGGTTCTCTATTAATAATAGATTTAGCATTTAATATTCAATTATAATAACAAATATTAACACAAAGCACTACTATTTTTTTTTTTTAATCTTATACAATTAAAATTCACACATATATAAACACTATATATTTTGTAAAATTTTCGTTTAAACAACAAAACAAACCAATTATTGAAGAAAAAATAGAAAGAAAATAAACTATATATGTGAAGCTAACTTTTTTCTAATTATGTACACGATTAAAATGATTGCTAATTGTGCTGATGAGTTGCATACTTAATCCCGCCCCTTGTAAAATTAACATTAATTTTGAGATGTTTAACCTATATACGTGTATTTATGTGAGACATTAGATGGGTTTATATATATATGATAGAAAAAATGCTGAATTTAAAGTGGTGATAAAGTTTTATCATTAGATATGATAAAATTTAATATGATTATTTTTGTTAATATAGTGTTTAATCTTTTAATTCAATGAATGATAATGAGCAGACAGATTTTTTTTTTTTTTTTTTTTTTTTGCAAGATAATTAAAAAGGATATTTATTAATTTAATACGAAGTATGTTTTTACATTTTTTTTTAGTTGACAGGTTAAAATGTCGTATCACCTAATCAAAAGTAATTCCTAAAACCACTAACTAAAATAGATAGGGAAGTAGGGTCGAATCCACAGGAAAACATCGTTCTTCTATTTTTAATTAATTATTATAATCTAAATTATCAAGAAACAAATAAGGTTTGTATGAATAAAACTAAGGGAATAACCAATAATAAAAAGCCTAGGGTCAAGGGTTCACCAATAATTAATACTGCGGGATAAAACATAACAATCAACAATTAATATTACAGAAATAACATGATCAAGAGGCTCTCGCAATTTATTAATCAACATAGATCTAACAGGTCTCGCAATTAATTATTAGATCTAAATTCCTATTGAAAATAGCCTTAATATCAAATTAACATCTGTTCGATTCATCAATTCAATATTGCTATACTTTTACAATCAAATCACATCTGCTCGATTCATAATCCAATTGTAAAGAATTAAAACAATCCAATCAGAAGTTATTATGCAATATCAATAATCAACCAAAACAATTTATCCCTTCATATTAATTATGGATCCCCCTAGAACCCTAGAAATCAACTACTCACACATAATTAAATCTAAACTAATCAAAGCATATATAAAAGGCATGATTGAAATCAAAGCACAAAAATAGCAAAGCAATTAAAATCAAAGCGATAAACAAAGCAATAAAAGATCAGAAACGAGAAAAATAATACCGAATGAAGGAAATATGAAATTGCACTAAAAGGGAAAAACTTGAGTTCAACAATAATCTCTCACTAAAATCTCTCTACAAGGTTAAGAATGAAAATTGTAATCTAAAACGTAGCTAATAAAGCTAACAAAAAGAGTTTAAATACTAAACCCCCAAATTAACTCAAAACGCATATCCTAAACACTACGGAAAAACTCGCGCCCAATCGGGCCTGCCTTTTTCTTCTCGCTGCCTTGCTGAGCATCCGCCCGATCGGGCTCGGTCTTTTCTTGGTCGAGTTTTCCTTTTCTTTTCTTCTTTTGGGGTTCAATCGCTTGTGGCCCAATTTCCTCTTCCTTGGTCCATTACTTGGACCAATTCCACAAACCAAGCCCTTAATCACCCAAATCCTCGGTCTTGGGCTACAAAAGACGGTCATGAATGTGATCATAAGCTCCAATGTCTCGTAGTGGCCAGAAAACCATTGAAATCACCAACAATCAGGGAAATTCCTATAAAACAAATGCCAACTCTACAAAACACTCGAAACCACATATTAGTACTAAAAATAGCTCCGCAGAGCTCAAATATGCATAAAAATGAACGTTGGACGGGGGATAAAATAGCATATAAAACACATATATCAGGTGTTTTTGTATATATATTTTTATATTTAATCTAAATTGAGTTTTTCTAAATGAACGTGGTTTTAGTTTAAAAAATAAAAATAAAATAACGTGGTTTTAGTTGAAAACAAAATAAGTTTAATATTATTTTTAAAGAATATTTATGAATATTTTTATCTAATCAAATAGAACTTTTTTTTACCTCTATCATTTATTTTTTAGTTCTTTAATATTAATTTAATGTATAATTTAAATCCTAATATCTAAAGATAATTTTTAGTTCTTTAAAAAAAATGATATTTTTAGTTTTTTAAATAATTTAAATCTTAATAAACCACTATTCGTTGTTTTATCTACGTGACAAAATTCTGAAATATCATTCGTCATTGCTTAGGCGG